ACACACACACACACACACACATATATATTATAAATATATATATTATATATATAATATATATATATATATATATATATATATTATATATATGTTATGTATATNAGCGACTCTATCGTTAACGTTCTGGCCTAATGGAGTATCGCCCAACATCTGTTTTCCCTTCCTTTTGTGTTTGTGATCTTAATATTTGCTGGCAGCGTTTTCATGCCTGTCATTCGCTGCGAAAGGCATCGCCATCCGGATCTCGCAAGGGATTCGGACCCACCTCAAGTTTTTCCTCCGCGAAACTGTATACATCTGTTCAATTCGGCGTGACTTGTGACGTCAAGCTGCGCCTTGATGCCAAGAAAATATATTTAACGCCGCCTGGGCAGTAATTGATATCCTTTGTCTTGCATGGGTGTCGCACCTATAACTCCTCCATAGCGAAAGGCACCGGACAACGAGATGGCGTCCATGTCCCAGGAATCCTGGTAGTAGCATTCGTCAAAGTCAGTGGTGCTTGTGATCTGCAGAGGCAAGTCATTACATATTCGTAAGCGGCAAAGAATCACTTCGGCACTTCCTGATGACTGTTGCAGGTTGTGGTGTCTGTGCTGTACTCTCCGGCTGAGAGGAGGTTATCGCTTCCTCTTTTTGAAAGTTGCAGAACTCCGGCCTGTCCCGTAGCGTTCCAATATCTCAAGTGCGTTCTTGTTTGTATATCTCATTTAGGGCAATTCCGTGTCTACCCAGGTCAAGAATTTTCAGTACTTAGGCGTCCGGTAGTCAGGTGGTAGATATTGTTCATAGGCACGCTTTTCTGCTGCCCTATAATCAGGAAGCTCGGTCGTCTGAGCCCGCGATTTACACCTTAAGCTCTTTGGCTGAAACACGCATATGTTCTCAACATTAATGCCAAACCTCTAGTAAGTTTAAAGTAAAAAGCAGTAGTTGACAGTTAATCTTTCAACCGAAAGGATTTTTAGTATTCAAGTACATTTTGTGATGTATTGCCATCTTTTCCGGTGACAATTAGGGTGTCGCGCAACGCGCTGCGACACCCAAAGTTGTCTCGTGACACGTTAAACTCCTCCCATTTCTGTGACGTAATGGTTATTTTTTCTACCAGAATATATCCTAGATGGTTTCTTATATCTTATGATGGGTTGTCCTGTGTTATAGGTATCCAGTATAAGTACGAATATTAATGAAATATCCGAAGAATGAGGAATGCATCTGGCAACTTGATAAATGTTTACCGCCTGCTCGATTCCTGTTGCGCGATAGGTGTTGAGCAACGTGTTCCATTAAGTGCAGTTATGGTGTGTACAAATGGAATCTGGTATGGGCCTAACAGGTTTTAACACTGGCTATATTTCTGGCACTTTAGGTAGCACATGCTCAAGATATTTTCTTTTACAAGAACATCAGTGATGTAATCGAATATGGTTTGGCTATCTTTACGGTTCCAAAGACTGAGAGGACACAGTACCTGGTATATCTCATGGATTTGGCTCTCTGCTGAATGCATATCTGTCATGAATAAAGGCTTTCTATCTTTTGCCAGTCGGACTCATATTGTGAAAGGGAAAGCCTTTAAAAAAGTGCTAAAGTGAAGAATTGGATTGTAAGTGGCATAGGCATTATTGGCTGACCTATTTATTTACTGCACTTTATTTACGGAGCTGAGCTGCCCGGCCAAGTTAGGCCTGGGCCCCATTTGCTCTCTTAACCATTCCATTTACTCATCACGGAGTTCTGCACAGACTGATTGTATTTTGTTGTGAAGCTAGCTACAATAGGCACACTACACTATTGTCTGTACACAAATGCACTCTGCTACAGTACAGGAGAGAGTACATACACCACAACATTACCACTTCTGTACAGTGCAGCCCTAGGCCCGACGTGGAGGGCTTGTAAATCTCAGCAGCAAATGATATAATGTATGATTATGGACAAGAACTCATCGACTTTGACGTTTTTTTACATTTAGTTTGGACGCTGGCAGTCAGACTTTGACTGTAACTTCCGACAGCCATAAATTCAGGCAAAATCAATCTCCCCGAACTTCACACACAGCTCAAATGTCATTTTCGGGACTTGTTTTGAACTAGGTTCGATTGAACAAGAACTTGTGTAAAGGGAGACATAATTCTCTTCACAGTTTTTCAAAACTCTGGAAAGAGATTCAAAATCTGCAAACTTTGCGCCCAGAACTATATCAATCTCCGCCATATTTAATTTCATTTTGCAAAGTATGAAAACCGAAGTGAGCATGCGCAACAGGATGTGCTGTAAATCTATCCTCTGAATGAGTCTGTGTTTCTTTAAACTGGAGGAGTGACTGTTGGATTGATTGGTTTCAATTGTGATTTTTTTATGTGAGCAGTTTTATGTAGAAAAATAAGGAAAATAAAAAAACTGACTGCATTGCAGTTTCCTGGACAATCATTGTGAATTACTCGTTTATTTTTTGTGATTTCTTTCCAGACAAACATAATTTATTGAGATTGCCCCCGATCCTGAACACCTAAAAACCTGGCATGAAAAGTGCAATTTTAAGACCAACTCATAATTAACTGGAATGAAGAATTCCTGCCAACAAAAGTAGAAGTTCATATCTGTAAAGGGTAGGAAAAGAGATCTTAAATATTGTGAAATTAGTAAATGGAGCAAGTACAACTAAAGATGAAATCTGAAAATATAAAAAAATGGATGTTTTTCTAAAAATAAGACAAGAACAATAAGAAACTGTTCACCTATTCTATTTTGGAAGAAAATAGCTCAGATTTCCATTTACATATTGTAACAAGTACATTTTGAAACCAAAGAAAACAGAAAAATTGGCTGAAATATTAAAGGGAACGTCTTGTTTTGAAGAAAAAAAAAATGCAAAAAAATTAAACGTGGAACTCCACATCAGTGCAGGTTTTCATTGTTTGTTTCCCTCGACTGGTTCGGAAACACCTTGTAGCACAACAACAAATGTAGTGTGGAATTACCAGAGTGAGAAGTTATGAATTGGGTTTACTGTTTAGGCTAGATTCTACCCAAGACAGCTATACATGTTCCTTGATTCTTCCGAACCTTAGAGGGAAATGATTCATGTAGTTTCTGTATCTTTCATTTTATGGGGGATGGGTCAACAGCTCCCGGGAGATTCCCTTCTTGTCATCTGGTGTAAATTTTAGCATTAGATTGGGCATTTTTTCACGTCTGGAACACCATGAAATAAGAAAGTACATGTACACATTTACACCCACTAGGAACTCGTTCCCCACTGATGTACAAAAATGCCGAGAAATCTGACTTGAATGAAATTTACAGGGAACAAATAGATGAAATGTATCCCCAGTTCGTAACAAGATTCAGAAGATATCAAAATGCAGGGAAATTAAGAGTTGCTTATGATAGGTGCGTGTTCGTGTGCGTGTGTTTCTGGAACCTCCACAGATGTAAGGATAAGTCCGATATGCGAAGCTGAGCCTCGCCCGGGCTATGAGGGAGCCCGGCCTGTGCCGACTAATGTCGACTCGATCAACGTGTGTCAGCGAGTGCTGACGCGACAGAGCTTAGTCCTTAGCCACGTGGTGCCCAGCCACAGCAGTAACCTCCGGGCGACAATTGCAACCTCGCGCCTGGGCGGGGCGCGAACCTCCGACCCCTCGGCTGAGAGGACGACAAGTTACCACTTACACAGATGTAGATGATTCTTGCCTTAAATACACCTTCAGAGATTGTGGGTCCTCAGGGTCTTCCCCATCCTCGTGGAGAGGAATTCGGAGTCATGTGATATTCTGTGTCGTTACTTGCAGGGTAATTTAGTTGCACTAAAACTAAAATGGAACTCGTTTGAATTTCAACTGTATTCTTTTGGGCCTAGCTTCTACTGTTACATTTTATGATAGGCTCCATTGAATCTGACATCCATGTCCATAGTCTCGTATCAAGTATACTTCTGGCTTCTTTGTTTGATGTCCCTCATTTTGTATAACCCCGTTTCTGACAAAAATATTTAGATCAATGTCGGACGCCAGATGTGGGTCGACGAAAGAACAGATTTTGTTGTATATGTAGCCTTATGCAAGAGACTTTTTCCTTCAAAAATCTCACCGATTGCTGTGCGGCCTGTTGGTGTACCAGAAACAAGTTCCAATTCCATTCTTAAAGTTGTAAAGAACTTAAACAAATTTCATGGACAAAGGTGCGGAAGACAAGGGTGCAAAAGACGAGGGTATGGAAGACAAGGGTGCAGAAGACGGGTGCAGACCAAGAGTGCAGGAAAGGGGTGTAGAAAACAAGGGTGAAGAACCAGGGCGCAGAAAACAAGGGTGAAGAGCGGTTGCGGAAGACAAGGGTGCAAAACGGGCGTGGAAGGCAAGGGTGCGGAAGACAAGGGTGCAAAACGGGTGCGGACAAGGGTGCAAGACAAGGGTGCAGAACATGGGTGCGGAAGGCAAGGGTGCAGAACATGGGTGCGGAAGAAAAAGGTTGCATAACATGGGTGCGGAAGGCAAAGGTGCAGAACATGGGTGCGGAAGACAAGGGTGCAGAACATGGGTGCGGAAGACAAGGGTGCAGAACATGGGTGCGGAAGGCAAGGGTGCAGAACATGGGTGCGGAAGAAAAAGGGTGCATAACATGGGTGCGGAAGGCAAGGGTGCAGAACATGGGTGCGGAAGACAAGGGTGCAGAACATGGGTGCGGAAGGCAAGGGTGCAGAACATGGGTGCGGAAGGCAAGGGTGCAGAACATGGGTGCGGGAGGCAAGGGTGCAGAACATAGGTGCGGAAGGCAAGGGTGCAGAGCATGGGTGCGGAAGACAAGGGTGCAGAACATGGGTGCGGAAGAAAAAGGTTGCATAACATGGGTGCGGAAGGCAAGGGTGCAAAACATGGGTGCGGAAGGCAAGGGTGCAAAACATGGGTGCGGAAGGCAAGGATGCAGAACATGGGTGCGGAAGACAAGGGTGCAGAACATGGGTGCGGAAGGGTGCGGAAGACAAGGGTGCGAACATGGGTGCGGAAGACAAGGTGCGGAACATGGGTCAGAACATGGGTGCGGAAGGCAAGGGTGCAGAACATGGGTGCGGAAGACAAGGGTGCAGAACATGGGTGCGGAAGACAAGGGTGCAGAACATGGGTGCGGAAAGACAAGGGTGCAGAACATGGGTGCGGAAGACAAGGGTGCAGAACATGGGTGCGGAAGACAAGGGTGCAGAACATGGGTGCGGAAGGCAAGGGTGCAGAACATGGGTGCGGAAGGCAAGGGTGCGGAACATGGGTGCAGAACATGGGTGCGGAAGACAAGGGTGCAGAACATGGGTGCGGAAGACAAGGGTGCAGAACATGGGTGCGGAAGGCAAGGGTGCAGAACATGGGTGCGGAAGACAAGGGTGCAGAACATGGGTGCGGAAGACAAGGGTGCAGAACATGGGTGCGGAAGACAAGGGTGCAGAACATGGGTGCGGAAGACAAGGGTGCAGAACATGGGTGCGGAAGACAAGGGTGCAGAACATGTGCGGAAGGCAAGGGTGCAGAACATGGGTGCGGAAGACAAGGGTGCAGAACATGGGTGCGGAAGGCAAGGTGCAGAACATGGGTGCGGAAGAAGGGGTGCAGAACATGGGTGCGGAAGACAAGGGTGCAGAACATGGTGCGGAAGACAAGGGTGCAGAACAGGTGCGGAAGACAAGGGTGCAGAACATGGGTGCGGAAGACAAGGGTGCAGAACATGGGTGCGGAAGACAAGGCGTGAACATGGGTGCGGAAGCAAGGTGCAGAACAGGGTGCGGAAGACAAGGGTGCAGAACATGGGTGCGGAAGACCAAGGGTGCAGAACATGGGTGCGGAAGACAAGGGTGCAGAACATGGGTGCGGAAGACAAGGGTGCAGAACATGGGTGCGGAAGACAAGGGTGCAGAACATGGGTGCGGAAGGCAAGGGTGCAGAACATGGGTGCGGAAGACAAGGGTGCAGAACATGGTGCGGAAGACAAGGGTGCAGAACATGGGTGCGGAAGACAAGGGTGCAGAAAATGGGTGCGGAACATGGGTGCGGAAGACAAGGTGCAGAACATGGGTGCGGAAGGACAAGGGTGCAGAACATGGGTGCGGAAGACAAGGGTGCAGAACATGGGTGCGGAAGACAAGGGTGCAGAACATGGGTGCGGAAGGACAAGGGTGCAGAACATGGGTGCGGAAGACAAGGGTGCAGAACATGGGTGCGGAAGGACAAGGGTGCAGAAATGGGTGCGGAAGACAAGGGTGCAGAACATGGGTGCGGAAGAAGAGTGCAGAACAGGGTGCAGAACATGGGTGCGGAAGACAAGGGTGCAGAACATGGGTGCGGAAGACAAGGGTGCAGAACATGGGTGCGGAAGACAAGGGTGCAGAACATGGGTGCGGAAGACAAGGGTGCAGAACATGGGTGCGGAAGACAAGGGTGCAGAACATGGTGCGAACATGTGCGGAAGGCAAGGTGCAGAACATGGGTGCGGAACAAGTGCAGACATGGGTGGGAAGGCAAGGGTGCGAACATGGGTGCGGAAGGCAAGGGTGCAGAACATGGGTGCGGAAGACAAGGGTGCAGAACATGGGTGCGGAAGACAAGGGTGCAGAACATGGGTGCGGAAGACAAGGGTGCAGAACATGGGTGCGGAAACAAGAGTGCAGAACAGGGTGCAGAACATGGTGCGGAAGACAAGGGTGCAGAACATGGGTGCGGAAGACAAGGGTGCAGAAACATGGGTGCGGAAGACAAGGTGCAAACATGGGTGCGGAAGACAAGGGTGCGGGGCAGGTGCGGAACAGGGTGCGGAAGACAAGGGTGCGGAAGGCAAGGGTGCGGAACATGGGTGCGGAAGACAAGGGTGCAGAACATGGGTGCGGAAGACAAGGGTGAACATGGGTGCGGAAGACAAGGGTGCAGAACATGGGTGCGGAAGACAAGGGTGCAGAAACATGGGTGCGGAAGACAAGGGTGCAGAACATGGGTGCGGAAGACAAGGGTGCAGAACATGGGTGCGGAAGACAAGGGTGCAGAACATGGCGGAAGGTAAGGGTGCAGAACATGGGTGCGGAAGCAAGGTGCAGAACATGGGTGCGGAAGGCAAGGGTGCGGAAGACAAGGGTGCAGAACATGGGTGCGGAAGGCAAGGGTGCGGAACATGGGTGCGGAAGACAAGGGTGCAGAACATGGGTGCGGAAGACAAGGGTGCAGAACATGGGTGCGGAAGACAAGGGTGCAGAACATGGGTGCGGAAGACAAGGGTGCAGAACATGGGTGCGGAAGACAAGGGTGCAGAACATGGGTGCGGAAGACAAGGGTGCAGAACATGGGTGCGGAAACAAGGGTGCAGAACATGGGTGCGGAAGACAAGGGTGCAGAACATGGGTGCGGAAGGCAAAGGGTGCAGAACATGGTGCGGAAGACAAGGGTGCAGAACATGGGTGCGGAAGGCAAGGGTGCAGAACATGGGTGCGGAACAAGGGTGCGGAAGCACATGGGTGCGGAAGCAAGGGTGCAGAACATGGGTGCGGAAAGACAAGGGTGCGGAACATGGGTGCGGAAGACAAGGGTGCAGAACATGGGTGCGGAAGACAAGGGTGCAGAACATGGGTGCGGAAGACAAGGGTGCAGAACATGGGTGCGGAAGACAAGGGTGCAGAACATGGGTGCGGAAGGCAAGGTGCAGAACATGGGTGCGGAAGGCAAGGTGCAGAACATGGGTGCGGAAAGACAAGGGTGCAGAACATGGGTGCGGAAGCAAGGTGCGGAACATGGGTGCGGAAGGCAAGGGTGCAGAACATGGTGCGGAAGGCAAGGGTGCAGAACATGGGTGCGGAAGACAAGGTGCAGAACATGGTGCGGAAGACAAGGGTGCAGAACATGGGTGCGGAAGGCAAGGGTGCGGAACATGGGTGCGGAAGCAAGGGTGCAGAACATGGGTGCGGAAGACAAGGGTGCAGAACATGGGTGCGGAAGCAAGGGTGCGGAACATGGGTGCGGAAGACAAGGGTGCGGAACATGGGTGCGGAAGACAAGGGTGCAGAACATGGGTGCGGAAGAGCAAAGGGTGCGGAACATGGGTGCGGAAGACAAGGGTGCAGAACATGGTGCAAGGCAAGGGTGCAGAACATGGGTGCGGAAGACAGGGTGCGGAAACATGGGTGCGGAAGACAAGAGTGCAGAACATGGTGCGGAAGGCAGGGTGCGGAAACATGGGTGCAGAACATGGGTGCGGAAGACAAGGGTGCAGAACATGGTGCGGAAGACAAGGGTGCAGAACATGGGTGCGGAAGACAAGGGTGCAGAACATGGGTGCGGAAGGAAAGGGTGCAGAACATGGGTGCGGAAGACAAGAGAACATGGGTGCGGAAGACATGGGTGCGGAAGACAAAAAGGGTGCAGAACATGGTGCGGAAGGCAAGGGTGCAGAAACAAGGGTGCAGAACATGGTGCGGAAGACAAGGGTGCAGAACATGGGTGCGGAAGACAAGGTGCAGAACATGGGTGCGGAAGCAAGGGTGCGGAACATGTGTGCGGAAGACAAGGGTGCAGAACATGGGTGCGAACAAGGGTGCAGAACATGGGTGCGGAAGCAAGGGTGCGGAACATGGTGCGGAAACAAGGGTGCAGCATGGGTGCGGAAGACAAGGGTGCAGAACATGGGTGCGGAAGGCAGGGTGCAGAACATGTGCGGAAGACAAGTGCAGAACATGGGTGCGGAAGACAAAGGGTGCAAACATGGGTGCGGAAACAGGGTGCGGAACATGGTGCGGAAGGACAAGGGTGCAGAACAGGTGCGGCAAGGGTGCACAGGGTGCGGAACAAGGGTGCAGAAAATGGGTGCGGAAGACAAGGGTGCAGAACATGGGTGCGGACAAGGGTGCAAGAACATGGGTGCGGAAGACAACAACATGGGTGCGGAAGACAAGGGTGCAGAACATGGGTGCGGAAGACAAGGGGTGCAGAACATGGGTGCGGAAGACAAGGGTGCAGAACATGGGTGCGGAAGACAAGGGTGCAGAACATGGGTGCGGAAGACAAGGGCAGAACATGGGTGCGGAAGACAAGGGTGCAGAACATGGGTGCGGAAGACAAGGGTGCAGAACATGGGTGCGGAAGACAAGGGTGCAGAACATGGGTGCGGAAGGCAAGGGTGCAGAACATGGGTGCGGAAGACAAGGGTGCAGAACATGGGTGCGGAACATGGGTGCGGAAGACAAGGGTGCAGAACATGGGTGCGGAAGACAAGGGTGCAGAACATGGGTGCGGAAGACAAGGGTGCAGAACATGGGTGCGGAAGACAAGGGTGCAGAACATGGGTGCGGAAGACAAGGGTGCAGAACATGGGTGCGGAAGACAAGGTGCAGAACATGGGTGCGGAAGGCAAGGGTGCGGAACATGAGTGCAGAACATGGGTGCGGAAGACAAGGGTGCAGAACATGGGTGCGGAAGACAAGGGTGCGGAACATGGGCAAACATGGGTGCGGAAGGCAAGGTGCAGAACATGGGTGCGGAAGGCAAGGGTGCGGAACATGGGTGCGGAAGGCAAGGGTGCAGAACATGGGTGCGGAAGGCAAGGGTGCAGAACATGGGTGCGGAAGGCAAGGGTGCAGAACATGGGTGCGGAAGGCAAGGGTGCAGAACATGGGTGCGGAAGGCAAGGGTGCAGAACATGGGTGCGGAAGGCAAGGGTGCAGAACATGGGTGCGGAAGGCAAGGTGCAGAACATGGGTGCGGAAGACAAGGGTGCAGAACATGGGTGCGGAAGACAAGGGTGCAGAACATGGGTGCGGAAGGACAAGGGTGCAGAACATGGGTGCGGAAGACAAGGGTGCAGAACAGGGTGCGGAACATGGCGTGCGGAAGACAAGGGTGCAGAACATGGGTGCGGAAGACAAGGGTGCAGAACAGGGTGCGGAAGACAAGGGTGCAGAACATGGGTGCGGAAGGCAAGGGTGCAGAACATGGGTGCGGAAGCAAGGGTGCGGAACATGGGTGCGGAAGGCAAGGGTGCAGAACATGGGTGCGGAAGCAAGGGTGCAGAACATGGGTGCGGAAGGCAAGGGTGCAGAACATGGGTGCGGAAGACAAGGGTGCAGAACATGGGTGCGGAAGACAAGGGTGCGGAACATGGGTGCGGAAGGCAAGGGTGCAGAACATGGTGCGGAAGGCAAGGGTGCGGAACATGGGTGCGGGAGGCAAGGGTGCGGAACAGGTGTGCGAACATGGGTGCGAAGCAAGGGTGCGGAACATGGGTGCGGAAGGCAAGGGTGCGGAACATGGGTGCGGAAGAGGCAAGGGTGCAGAAACATGGGTGCGGAAGGCAAGGGTGCAGAACATGGGTGCGGAAGCAAGGGGTGCAGAACATGGGTGCGGAAGGCAAGGGTGCAGAACATGGGTGCGGAAGACAAGGGTGCAAACATGGGTGCGGAAGACAAGGGTGCAGAACATGGGTGCGGAACATTGGGGCGAAGGCAAGGGTGCAGAACATGGGTGCGGAAGCAAGGGTGGCAGAACATGGTGTCGGACAGTGCGGAAGGCAAGGGTGCAGAACATGGGTGCGGAAGACAAGGGTGCAGAACATGGGTGCGGAAGCAAGGGTGCAGAACATGGGTGCGGAAGACAAGGGTGCAGACATGGGTGCGGAAGGCAAGGTGCAGAACATGGGTGCGGAAGACAAGGGTGCAGAACATGGGTGCGGAAGGCAAGGGTGGCGGAAGAAAAGGGTGCGGAACAGGGTGCGGAAGGCAAGGAGTGTGCAGAACATGGGTGCGGAAGACAAGGGTGCAGAACATGGGTGCGGAACATGGGTGCGGAAGACAAGGGTGCAGAACATGGGTGCGGAAGACAAGGGTGCAGAACATGGGTGCGGAAGACAAGGGTGCAGAACATGGGTGCGGAAGACAAGGGTGCAGAACATGGGTGCGGAAGAGCAAGGTGGCAGAACATGGGTGCGGAAGACAAGGGTGCAGAACATGGGTGCGGCAGGACAAGGGTGCAGAACATGGGTGCGGAAGCAAGGGTGCAGAAACATGGGTGCGGAAGACAAGGGTGCAGAACATGGGTGCGGAAGGCAAGGGTGCAGAACATGGGTGCGGAAAGGCAAGGGTGCAGGAACATGGGTGCGGAAGGCAAGGGTGCAGAACATGGGNGAGTGCCAAGCGCGTGGGAGGGGAGGGGAAGGGGAGTCGGAGGGGGGAGGAGGGCCAGCGAGAGTAGGTGTGGAGGGCGGAGGGTGGGGCGGAGGGTGGTTGTGTGAAGGTTGGCGGGGCATCAGAGCGCGGGATGGGTGAGAGGAGAGCCTGGCGGGCGGAGCAGAGAGTGGGCGTTGGAGGCAAGCCACGGCCCTTCCCTGGCACTCAGAGGCTAGTTAGTAAATATCCGTGGCACCGCTAGCACCGCTGTGGCACTGCTGTAAAGCCACTCTTTGCATTTACTTTTTGCAACCGTAGCACATCCTGCCTAGCTGTCATCTGCGAGAAGAAAACAAACGCCTTAATATGTGGTGGTCGCTCCGTCGGTAGGCTGTATGTGATTTGATGGCGCAGTTTATTCGGGAAACAGTTGACAGTGATACTTGTGCTGCCGCGGGCGAACCGCACGGGATAAGTGGTGGCCGACCAGGAAATTGTTGACCCGGCAGTCGACGAGGGAAGGAGAGGCTCTGGGGGCAAGGAGGTGTCCTCTGCCCTGCCCCCTCACACCCCGCTGGGGGCAAGGTGTGAGGGGGCAGGGAAGAGGAAGGAAGGAGAAGGCGATATCAGGAGAGAGAGAGAGAGAGAGAGAGAGAGAGAGAGAGATAGAGAGAGAGACAAAGGCAAAACACTTTATTCCATTAATTACAGTGACTATTCTTCACATGAATATATTTATATTTACAGGTGATTATTTAAGTGGTGTTCTTTTAATTTCGTATTGAAATTACAGAAGCTGCTAATGTCTCTTATATTATAAGGTAACATGTTCCATAACTTGAGTCCACGTTTTTCCTTTTGTCTTACCCTTGTATCTGTATTCCATCTCTTAACATAAAGAGAATTTACTTGACTTGTCGGGACACATGTATTCCCTACAATTTGCAAGGGCATTGGCTATTGCGGATAATTCCCATGAATGAGAGAGAGAGAGAGACAGAGAGAGGCAGGCAGGCAGGCAGGCAGGCAGGCAGG